AAAATAAGATGGTGCTCCTGAAAGATGACAAAAAACTTCAGACTGAGAAGGGGGGAGGGTTGAATGAGACCTGATAAGCTATATCCTGTTGAAATTTGAAGACATTAAATAAAGCAGTAAGATCTTAAGAAAGATCAGATTACGTACAAAGGAAAAACTGATTGCTTTTTTGATTGAGTAAGATCACAGGGCCCATTAGGCATGCTGGATCTCAGAGGACAGCAGGTTAGTCCCATATACTTCAGAGAGGGAATGATTGGAAGAGTTAATGCCAAACTATCACATATGAGGCACTGCAAAGATATTTCCTGGTATATATAAGGTTGGAAAGTCTACTTCATTTGTACCTTTTATTTAAAAATTATTCAAAAATAAGTTTTAAAAATTAATTTTAAACTGATACACAAAACATAAAAATTATACATGTATGTGGCTTACTGTGTAAGGTTTTGATACATGTATACATTGTTCATATTCCAATCAGATTATATATATCTATCTCCTCAAACATCTATCACCTCATTATGGTGAAAATATTTAAAGTAACTTTTAGTTTTTTGAAATATATTGTACTTGTCATCCCTCTCTTGAACCCAGGGTCTTTCCACTGAGCTATATCCATCCCCAGACATTTTTTAAGTTTTTATTTTGAGACAGAGTCTTGCCTTGTCATTAAGTTGCCGAGGATGAGCTTGAAGTTTTGATCATTCTGGCTCAGCCTCCCAGAGTACTGGGATTACAGCTGTGCACCACTGTATCTGACTCAGGATTTCTTCCTTTTGTCTAGTTATAACTTAACACCAGTCAACCCTTACCTATCTTTCCCATCTACCTACTCTCCCTGGCCTCTGGTAACCACTATTCTACTCTCAACTTCTGTAATAACTACATTTTTAGATGACACATGTTAGGGAGATAATACAGTATTTGTTTTTAAAGAGTGAGTTTTAGCTAAAGAGAAACAGAGCACAAGAAAGATCAAATAATGAATCTATGAACAGAAATGTAGGGAGTAAGTTGTCTGATAGGCTTGGAAAGCAGTTGCTGTAAATTGAAACTAAAAGTTGGGAGAGATTTGCCTTCAAATAGGAGGCAAACAGAGTGTGTAAAAGCTAGGTTGTATTCAGCTGCTTCATATAGAAGCAAAGTCCCTGTGAAGTCCAAAGATTCTGGTCAGCTTCAAAATTCAGGATCTCTTGTTGAAGTTTAGAACTTCTAGTTCTGGATTAATTCTATTTTTGTGTTATTCCTTTCAGTTCTTCTACTTATGAACTAAGTGGTAAATGTAACTCCCACCATTACATTTCTTATGTAGTAGCATATGCTTATATTATAGTTACAGAAAAACTGTATTTAACAATTGTTTAGTTGTATTTTTTTTATTCAAAATTTGTTCTTCTAAGACGTGATGATATTTACTTCTTTTTGAGATTGTTATAGAAAGCAAATGTCTTTTGGGTAGACCATTTCAGCTGTTATGAGTAATGTCTATATATTTCTTTTAAAACCACAAAGAGAGACTTTTTTCTATTATTATCTTACTTATTTTGTTCAAATTGATTTTGTGACTGTTTCATTAAATCCAGGAGACTTCTCAATAATAAGCATGAGTAACCAAACCTGATATGGCTCATAATATAAAAGTGAGACATCAGAAGCCCTTTACAGGTCCAGGAAAGCATTATGGCTAATTTTGAAAACTCAAGGAAGTTTATAAACCATGCTCTTAAAAACATATATTTTTAGAGCACCCACATCCTAATATATAAAGTATTTTAAGAGAGAACAAATTAAGTAACCCTAGTCCAGAATTTGACTTATCCTAAATTTGACCTTTTCTTAGGCTTTTATTAGTGATATAAGAGAGAATAAGAGCTTATGATTTCAGTCAAAATATTTATCTTGACTTAAATAGAGAGGTGTTCAAAGGGATACTAGATAGAAATATTTCTGTATTGGACTCTTCGTTCTTGTGAAAAATAACAGGGGAGCATTATCATTGGAGAACTATTTTTATTTCACATCAACAAAGGGAAAAGAACATTTTCAGAATTTGAAGTGTTTTTTGGTAGGACCATAATTAAAAGTTGGAAAAATTTTATTGAAGTATAATTTAAATACCATAAAATTTGCTTTTTAAGTATATAATTTAATGACATCTAGTAAATTTAAAGAGTTGTGCAATTGTTGTCATAATTTAATTTTAGAACATTTCTATCAGCTCATAAAGAAATATCCTGTTCATTTGCATTTACTTTATTCTCACTCCTCTCCCTGACCCATAGCACCAGGCAATCACTAGTTTACTTTCTTTCTTTATAGATTTGCTTTCCATGGACATTTCATCGAGATAAAATTGTACAATATAATGTCCTTTGTGTCTGGCTTCTCCTCTTAGCACAATATTTTTGAGGTTCATCCATGTGTATCAATACTTCATTTTTTTCAAAACAGAAGAGACAATTGGAGGGATCTCCATTTTTCATCTTTTATATTTACAAGAGTTCACACTAATTGAAAAGATACAATTGTATAGATAAGCTTTTCCCTAAAGTATCATATGAAAATTATCTGAATGTTCCAAAATAGAGTTTTTGAGTTTTGCTTTGTTTTTTCCCCCTGAATTTTACCTACTTTCCCCATTTATGTTTTAGGCATGGACATAATATGACTAATCTTTGTTGAAAATTATAGTTCTTTGGCTGTTAAAAAGTATGAGATATTTTCTTGTGTCATATATAATAAGTACATTATCAGTTTTCTTCTAGTACTTGTCTTGCAATGAAAAATTTTCAGAATTTTAAAAAATAGTTTTATTCATTTCTCTGACTTCCTCACCATTTTGCCGGAGTGATGAGCTGAGGTAAGTTGGAAAGAAAATGATACCAAAATAAGACACTGTAGAGAACTAGAGAAAAGTCCAGTAACTCTTTTCTGCTTTAGCCTTCTAGTGCCTTTTGATTATAGCTTTATTTTCTTTGAAATGTCTAAATTGTTTTTAAGTATGAAGGCAGTATGGTTGAACTCTTAGAAAATAAGCAATGTTCTCAATAGGGATTATCAGCTTCTTTAGTGGAAATATATTTCTCCCTACTCAGCTGTATATTTATACTTGCTCATACTGACCTAAGGTCCTTCAATTTGTAATGTTACCTGATAATTATTTATGATCTGCTTTATTTTTCCATATGTTTGTGACACTAATGGGTTTTGGTGATTATCTTTCCTTGCTTTATGGGAAATGTTCATTAAAAATATTAAGGGACCACCAATTTCATCCTTTCTTTATATATCCCTAAAATAATTCTATTATTTAGTTTAACAATAACTGCTAGGAAGACCATTTAAGCGTTAGCTGCAAATGCTTTCAAGCTGCTGTGGCTTTGGGAACCCTATGCTGTAATTGTTGAAGCATTTGCTCCTATAATCAATAGGAAACCTTTTACATCAAAGAAAGTTACTATATTGAAAGAATTTTGGGTGTAGAGTTAGTTTGAATGGCTACTACTTAACTTTCTAGCTGTGTAGCCCTAAAAAAATGTCTCTGAGCTTCAATATTTTCATCTCCGGTAGGGCTAATATCATCTTACAGTATTGAGAAGAATAACCAAAATATTGCACTTTAAAAGTCAATGCATAGCTTTTGGATATAATGTGTATTTAACAAATATTACTTGATTAATGGGTCAAGTAGATCATTCTTTTTCCTGGTGTATTTTACCTTTCTTCTTCTCAATGCCTTATTTTATGTAGCTCTCAAATTTAAGCTACACTATATAAACTTGGAGCCATATTTCAGTTTTACTGTAATTATTGACTAAAGCAATGGTGATTGTCAGGATCTGCATCCCTTATTAGTCATATAGATGTCCCATTGATCTTCATTGGAAAGCAAATAAAAATCATTTAGAAGCCATGATCAATATTTTTGATGAATACTTATGCCACAGAACAAATTTAGTGACTCTCTTGACCACCTAATTTAATAGTCAGTCTTCCTGGAGGAAGTGGTATGGATTCAAAAGGCTTTGGTCTCAATGTTTAAAAGCCTGTCCTTTTTGTTTCATCATGCCAGCCATTTCCCCGGATAAGTTCCTTAGTGTCATTGCATATTGATAGTGCTGTTTGTTGTCTGCTTTCATTAGACTATCCGGGGTAGTATATCACCATGCTAAATGAGGGCTTAACAATTCCTCTAGCCATGAAGGTCATTTTAAAAATGCATCTTCTAGAAACTTTCATATCAATGATTCATTACAAATTCTTTCTTCAAATTCATTTTCTTTACATAATGCTTTGGTGCTCAGAGCTTCTGCAGATTCAGTTAATGAAGTTCAGATAGAAGAGATACCAAAAAATTAAGCAAGCAAAACCAAAAATAATATCTCTATACTGGAAGCTCCAAATAGACTGAGAAATTTGAAACAAGCAGCATCATCTTTCCTATTTTCTTCATACCACTCCTAAAAGGAAGAAGAAAAAGGAATTAGACACAAAGAAGGTGTTATACATTTATTCAAGGCAATATTTGGGCCATAAATACTCATCAGGGACTCACATTTTGACAACCAAACAGGAATTCAGAACAAGTCCCCTTATTTGTTGTTAAATGTAAGGTTTCAGTACATGTAATATATTTTATCTTTCTTTGTGACATTCAAAATGCTTCACTTTCTTTTTCCTAGTTGATCTCTGCTAAGATTGAGATAATCTGTGGTTAATGTATTTCCAACATTTTCTATGTAAGGAAACTGAGACTCAGAGATGCAATGTGACCCTTTCTTCTATATTTTTCTGTCTTCTCATTGTTGAAATATCATAAGAAATAGTATCTGTTATGGCCAGGTTTATTCATTGATCCATCTCATCTCCTATGGCATTTCTCATTTCTGCCACCATTGTGATCAAAGAAGCATATTGTTCTGTCACAGTAGCTCTCTGGACTGGGCAACTAGCAAACTTGGGAAGTTTAATTCTTTTCAGTGCTCTAGCTGTCACTTGTTTGCTTGCTCCGTCTTTTATAATTATCTCTCCACTTTTAGGCCATAGGGCTCAAATGCTACATAAATATCTTTTTAGTACAAAGTAATAAAATATGTAAACTTTTGGGTAGTAATTTCCATTTAAAAATGGACTAGAGAATGAATTTCCAGATGTAGAATTTCGGAAATTGAGTTTGTAAAATCAGAGACAGTTTTTGATATCAAGGATTTCCTGAAGCAGTTCAAATCTCCTGAGATGAATGCCATACTGTTTACACAAAGCCTTGCTTACCATTCAACAGCTACAAGCTGGGACATTACATGTTTGTAAGTATCTGAATGATTCAGCTAAATGTTTGAGCCCATTAGTCCTACACTGGGGTACATTTCTGTAACAGAAATACAATGGGAGTATTATAAGGACTCTGCCCTCTGCAACTATATTTCTTCAGTGTATGTCCCCTGTGAATTAATGTAACTTTAATGTTACAGTGAACCATGGATGATCATTGAATTGAGAATGTCTTGAGTTTCAGGTTTATATCTTTATTTTTGTAAAATTGTATCTTTTACCATCAATTCTGTGTGGCAGCATTAGATTACAATCATGTTAAAATAAGAAGTGAGACCAATTGAATTTTATAAAGTTTACTTGAGGAAAAAAATTGTTCTAGAACTGGGCAGCATTCCAGACCAAAAATAGTTCAGAGTACCCCACCCCACCCCTTGTACAAATTTTATTTATAGCCAAAGAAGACTAAGTAACACACAGAAATGATCCAATTGGCTGTTGTCAGCATTTGCCTAATATGGACATAGTCTCATTAGTTAACAGTCTGTGATTGGCTAAAGCTCAACTGCTTTGATTGACTGAGACTCAGATACTTGGTTACAAGGATATAATCTTAAATCAGTTTACTACATGTAAAGGCCATTTTAATCCACATTTATCTGTCAAGTACAGAGGCTGATTTAGGCCAAATTTTGGTTCAATGATCATGTCACAAAGTTCTCAAAATTAAATTCAAAGAGTATTTTATAAAGCTAAAATTTTTATTTTTAAAATTAGATGATTATATGTTTTTCTCCCATTGTGGGATTTTCCATTTCATTATAAGGGTTGATCACAGGGATACATAATGAAAATCTAGATGTGCTTCTAATATATTTCCAGTATACTTTCTCTCCAGAATGAAAAGCATGGAAATTTCTAGAGCAGCAGAGAAGTGCCCTGATATGATGATACAGCAGTATGTGGCTGGCAGACTTTCCCACATAATACAACATGATAGCCAACCGTAATAGATAGGAAAGCAGAGCTGCAATGCCAGGCCCCACCGACTTGTCAAAACCCACTGCAAGAAGCCTGCTGTTACCAAGATCTGTTAGCCAAATCTATCACCCGATGGGGCCAGAGAGATTCTGATGAGTCAGTGCTGATGTTACATATGGTCATTTACTGTCCAGATGAACTTAAGTAAATCTTTATTTCTCTATGCTTTTTTTTCTTTTGCTTTCTTCTTCTTCTTTTTTTATGGAATGAAATTTCTAACCCTTGCAAGTGTGAGCTCTACAGCACAATTGTAAAGTATCACATTTGTCTTTAAAAAGGAGTTTAATGAATTCAAGAATTTAGATAGGTTTTCAGTTATGAGCTCTGAAATTTTACACCTAAGCTATCAAAGATATGACCTCAACATGAAAATACTCAAGGGCAAGTATTATTTTCCTGTAACAGAACTTCAGTATGGCCTCTATAGAAGACTGGCTTTTTATAAAAATCTGTATTACTGGCCCTACCAGAATTAGCTACAAAATATATTTTTGTAAGGTTGGACTTATTGCATGGAACTTTTTTGGTATTTTTAACTACAGGATAATGTCAGACAAATATAATTGATTGAGGCCTAATATTATTGTTTCTTTCTGATAATAATTAGCCATGATATTACCTCTTTTTCACCTCCCACTCCACAACTAACTACTTGTATGGGAACTTCTAGTTTTCGATAATAAGGAAATATCAGAAGGGAGCAGAAGGCATATTGTTATGCTTTCAAAGCATGCATGGACTGGACTGGTAGCAGGTGATCAAAAGAAGTATCTTTAGGGGGAACCCACTCATTTCTATCATTAATGCCTGAGGCTTAGTAGATACTTGATGGGAGTTATACCTATTATTTTAGGACTTTATACTTCTATAAAATTGCTCCTAGGTTAATTATAGGAATAGTCTAGCAATGTTTTATTTGTGTTCCTGAGCTAGTTTTTAAAATTATTTCATGGCTCCTATTTCTTCTTCTTCTTTTTTTTTTTTTTAATTTGGCTTCTTTCTCTTGCTCTGTCTTCTGGCACTCCAGTAACTGTATCTGTTGGGTTTCTTTGTCTCCCACTGATATTCTGAAATCTTCCAGGGGTCAAAAATTCTGTTTGCACTCTCCAGTGTCCTTAGAATTATAGAAATTGTTATCTATTTTGTAAGAACCAGGAAGGAAATGTGTTCTTGATTTTAGGTTTACCCTTTCCACATGGATACTCAAGCAGAGCTGTTCATGCTCCTGTGCTCCTCCAGCTGCTGAGTCCTTGTCTGCCTGGTCACCTTCATTCCTCTGGACTGATTATCCCCAGGAAGTGTCCCATTTTTTCATTCTAACAAATGTCAAGGGGGATGTGTGGACTTGCATAGATCTATAATTCTCACCTATGAACTCAAGTTAATTTCACCACCAACCTCCTTGCTTACTTCTATCCACCACATGTCAGTGTAAATTGAATTTCCAAAAAGGGGAAGCTCCCTTGGGCAGAACCAGCTTTTTACTGTTAAAGCCAGAGCTATGCCAATCAGGTAGGGGCAGCAGTGCCCATTTCATCTCAAAGATTTTTGAGTACTCACTAGGAGAGTAGGTCAATTTCGCTACTAAGCAGAGAGATAGGTGAATCAGGGTTAGACTTGGAGCAAGGGCTCCTTCTAGGGTTAAGGCTGGATGGGAATGCGGAGGGTAAGATTTCGATGAGGGTCAAGAAGTAGCAGAAATAAAGCATTAACTTATTTCTTTTTGGGTGTTGATAGTGGGCAGATTCTTTTTCATTAGCTACTAGAAAAAAATACTAAACCTTCAAAAGAAGGAGGTTAAAAATTGAAAATCACAGGAAAAATTATCGTCATAACGTATTAAATTGTTTTCTTTTATATACTAAAAACACTAGGCCAAATAAATGAAAAACTTCTAATATATATTAATTTTACTTAAAACAATCCACATTTAGGCTATTTCAGGGGAAAATGTTAATCTTGGGAGTTAATAAAGTCAGTTATATTTGACTCACAGGAAAGATATTTTTAGTTCAAGGAAAACATTTCAGGCTAAATGGGGCAGGTATGAAACAAAAATAAACTGTAGTTATTTTTCTTATTATCTTGACAGGATGATTTTCTTGACCAAGAGTGCATTTTCACCCTGCTTATGCTGACAGACCAAAGCAGAACAGTAAAGGTCAACGTGTTGGGAAGTTTTTCCTTATGGATTAGATCTCTATTATAAACTCAGGCACCACACTCTTCAAGGCCATCCAAGGGAACTCAAGGCTTTCCAGAATCTTCCTTGAGCTCATGTGTGCACATTTTGGGTGTTCCTCTGAACTCTCCTTAGCCTGCGCCTCCATCTAAAATGAAAGTATAGGAATGAATGAATGATCCTCAACTCTGGATATGTACTGGGATCTTCTGTGGACTGAAAAAATATTCTGTTGCCCAAATCTCCTTCCAGGAGGTCCTGATTGGTAGTTCTGAGGAGTGGGCCTGGAGTTTCTGAGTTGCCAAAGTCTAGTGACAGTGGGCACTTGACTGAATAATCTCATGCTTTTAGTAGAGGGAAATGGATTTGAGCTGGGGAGAACAAATTGGAACTGCCTGTGGAGATTTATTTGGCAAGAATTCAGTGCTGGAAATGAGATTAGAAGAGTTTGCTTTTCTGACTTGGTAACCATTGTCAACTCAAAGCTTGTCACTTAGTCCAACTCAATGACCAAATCAACACTGGCATTTTGTGACATGACATTCCTGGCACAGAACCTTTGATTTATGCTTGTTTCTATGAATAAAACAAGTGCCCTTTGGTTACAAATAAAGGAGACATATTCTATTAATATAAATTGGTTTACAGTTGCAGAGGGAGGTCTGCCATTACTAATATCAAGATATGAGTTCTTTCTTTCAATGCCCTTATGGCATTGCTGATTAGAAATGGAATTCTGGTTAGGATTTGGGATCTGGGCCAAGAGAATATGTGTCTTCTTTTCATTTTCCTTTCCCTCATTAATTTGTTAAAAAAAAAAACCCAAACAAACAAAAAGTAAAAACTGCTTGCATTAGGTGAAAGTGTTCAATTGGTGGCAGCAAAGTTCTTTTACAGAAAATACTGTGAGATGGTGTTAGATATTTTGAAGGGAAACAGAGGGAACAAAGCAGCATGTATAATAACATCCATGTTTTTGGTTAACCTGTAGAGCTATAAATTTATTGTGTGTGCTCGGGAAAAAGAAAAATGTGTAAAAGGAAGAGCTCTCACTATCTCTGTCTAGATCTAACCCCAAGTACAGTATGTTCTTTGTTTCCAAATACAGAAGTAGTATTTGCATCAGCTTCAGATGAGATATTTTAGACAGGTTGTGATCCACAAAGGTGAGCATCTGAGGATTTATTGTTGGTTGTCATGTAAATTTATTAAAATGGGAGCTTTTATCTTGAAATACATCCTGACAAGATTAATGATTTAGCATCTGGGGAAATCAACTACTTGATGCAATGAATGGAAAGAGAAGGTTTTACAATTTAACATTGGCAAAGATAAGAAATTCAGTGTTTAAAAGGCTATGTTAGAATTTTAGTGTAGTTTAGACTTTTAGTTTTAACCATAGTAAGTGCCAAGGAATATTATATAGTATCTGACTAACTTATAGGCTAGAAAGGTTTGTAAGCAATAAACAGATTGAAATAAATTGGCAAAAAAGAAAGGATAATTGGTGAGTTAGCAATGCAGATAGTTTAGAACCATTTTATGGTTTATACCCCATTTTCTACCTATGCTGTGGTGGTGAATTAGTCATTATGTCTATAAAATTGGGTGTTAATTCAGGGGTAAATGGAAACTTGAAACTCAAACTGGCCCACTGATTGCCTTACAGTTGGCCTAGTAACATTATCTAAATGATTATTATACAAAATGATTCATTCTCTTGGAGACACTGTCATCAATACTGATACCATTATTGTGAGATATTGGGGTGGAGAAGCGATGGATAATTGGAGAAAGTGGAGACTCAAGGATAGGTGCTAGAGATACTGCTTAGATGTCATAGGAAAATTCTAATTCCTTAACGAAAGATCACCAACTAGCAAAATAGTTAAAATGTGAAAATACTCAAGGTTAGAAGCTTGATTAGTAAATATAACCACTAGATATGATGCTTTTAATGTAATGCTATAAAGATTTTTTGTAAACATTTTTGTTTTGTTATTAACTAATTTTTACTTAAATTGCCAGTTTTATGTTCGTTTATTAAAAGCTTACAAATACGAGTTTATTTCTTAACTTCAAAATACTTTAGTGTTGAAATAGCAACTTATAAGTTATCCAACATGAGCTTAAGTCAAACAGACACCATCAAAGTTGAACAGCATAGGTTAAAATTTCAAAGTAGTTTGGAATATAACTATGTAAATCCCATTTAAAGTAATGGGATTTTTCCAAACTTGAAATGTCATACCATGTGCATAATTTTGAGAATATGTCCTGGAAAATACACTTTCTGTCACTGTCATCAAATTGTCAGATCAAAGTTTGTTTCTTTTTCATCTTTCAATTTTGAAAATACAGTGAAGCAATGAAATCTTGTGAACATAAACACTTCACTCATGGGGAATTTATGACTGCATATTAGAAAACATTGTAAGAAATTTTGTAAATGAGATGTATCTTTATTATAGCTGATTCTAGAAAGAATATGCTACATAATATTCCATTTAAATACAGAAATGAATTATTTCGTATAATTATTGAAAGTGACATAGTAGTTAATTAGTTTCAAAATGAACTTTCAGAATGAATTTCCTCCGTATGAACTTATGCCAAATAGACGGCATTAAGTGTTGAACATTGTAGGTTAAAGTTTCAAAATAGCCTGGGATGTAGAATCACCATGGGAAATTTCAGTTTAGATGGCCTTGAGATGTGTATTTAAAAATTAATCATAGGTGATTCTGATGGCTACCAGGATTACAAACCACTGCCCATAGCTTTTAGAGAAAGTACCATAGTTACAGACCATAGTCTACCATTACTTGGTTGATTTCTATCCTTCTATTGAGGGTCTTGCTAGTGAGTTACCATTATATAATTAAGAATAATGGTAATAACTGAGAATGAAAGTTGCAGATTTGCAAGAACATTTTTTTCTATGTATTTCTTCCATACAGTCTCTCTTCCCTCACCTAACATTCCCCCTACCCCCGCCATTGCATGACTATCTAACTTGTTTATTTGGCTTTGTCTCTTTTCACTGTACTTTGTGAACAAACATGTAACAGTAGTGCCAGCTGGTTCAAGACAGTCAGTTGCTTGTAATTCAAGTGTTAAATTGAAGTTTGTGAAACTTCACACCATTATTAAACACACCATTATTAAAAATTAAATTATATAAACAACAAAATAAAATACTCAATACTCAAGATTATTACTTCTTAATTTCTTTATTACTTTCATCTCTCCTTTTGAGGACATATGAATCAACTGACTGATGAAAAAGCTACTACTGTACTTTGCATCTTTTCAGAGTTAGCCCTCAGTGACTTCATACTGGTAGCTTGAAATCGGCCGGGTGGGAGTCTATACCACTGCAATCAGCAAATGGTGCAAATCAGGGCTTGATTTGGTGTCTTGTTGATTATTTAAATATTAGAAGTGATAGAGAAATGTTAAATGCTGAATAGAGTTAAAGTGTGTCTTGTCTGTAGCTATTAATTTGTGAATAGTATAAACACATGAGGAAAATTTCTTCTAGTATTTACAAACTCTCATTAATTTAGCAAAATCATTCACATAGTTGAATGAAGTTATGGCTTATGCCTTTCTTATTTCACTTTTGTCTTACTCTTTAGCATAAGCAAAATTATCAACCAATGTTTATGTCACAACTATACTTGAGTGACTGCTTTTTTTTCCCATGAAGTTTATTGGTATATTTTAGGTATAAAATACAGTTACATTCATCATTGGAATCTTGTACCTTTACATGATGTATCTTGGTTCTTCTTTTTTTCCCCATAACCTTGCCCTCCCTTCACCCCCTCCACTCTTCCATATTTACAAAGATTTTGTTTCTATTTTTTTCCTTTTCTAATATTTTTTCTTTTCCCTTCTTTCCTTTCCCCTACCCCTCCCACTTCCCCTGCTCCTTTAGACCTTTACTTCCTATTACACAATATCAATTATACATTTTTTAAATTACAATATCAAGATCTAGAAGACATTACCACAGATTATACAGAATTTAAAAGGATATAGAAAACATACTACAAAAATCTTTTTTGAAATAAATTTGACCACTTCTAAGGTGTACCTTGGAAGACAAATAAATGAAACTGATTCTGGAAGAAATATAAAATTTGAATAGCACCTATTAAGGAAAGTACATTCCTAGCTTGAAAACCTATCTATATAACAATAACAGGCTCATATACATTTCAACTGATAAATTATATCAAACATTTAAAGTAGAAAAAAGAAGGCACACATCTCCCCTCATTTTAGGAAATCAACATTGTGCTAATACTAAAACTGGATAAAAATAATAGAAGAAAAAGTATGAACATAAATAAAAATTTGTTTAACAAAACTATTAGAAATCAGATCTGGCAGTATGTAGTAAGTGGTTTTATTATAGGGATGGCAGTGTTGGTTCAGCATTGGAAGATCCACCCCCAGAAGTCATCATTTTAACAAAGGAAAGGAAAAAGCCATTTGATCCTGTCACTAGTTGCAGAAAAAGTATGGACTGAATTCTACAGCTGTTCATGGTAAAAGCTATCAGGAGACTAGAAGTAGAACAGAACCTTCTCAACAGATAAAATATGTGTACTCCATACTTCCAGCAAAAACACCTTATATGAATGGAAAAGACACAATGCTTTCTCCTTAAGGTGGGGAACAAGGGCAGATATGCCTACTCTTCATCTGTCCATAAAACTTTGAAAGATAGCCCCAAACCAAAATAGTCTGGCAATAAAAATAAACAAATAGCATAAGATTGGCAAGGTAGAAGTAAAATCTTTATATGTAGATGAAATGATCATCTACAGGGAAAATACTAAGAAATCTCTAGGAGCCCCTAGAACTTGTATTTGAATTTAGCGGGATTAGAAAACACAAGGTATATATAAAAATTCAGATCTATGTATACTTGCTATAAATGAAGAATTGGATATTGAAATTTAAAAGTTATGTAGGAGTAGAAAGGACCTGGAAAAGTAAAAAGATAAGAAAAGAAAATAACAGTGTTGGAAGACATTTATTACCTAATTTTAAGACTTCTAAAGCTACAGTAATCGAGGCAGTGTTGGCATAAGGAAAGACATATAGATCAATGGAATAAAACAGAGAATCTAGAAATAGAACCACATATATATGGTTCACTGATTTTTGAAAGATTATTTAACAGTAACATTTTATAGAACATAAACTCAACTCAAGAGCAGAGGAAAAGATAATGTTTTCAACAAATGGTACTAGAACACCTGG